CTTGTCGAGCCCTGCATTGTCTGTACCAGTTGATCTCTGTGGACCTGGCAGTCAATCTGAAGGACCACTCCCAATGACTAAGAGCCATGAAGGGCCATATCCAAGAATGCTTTTTCCCTACCAGACTCCAGTGCCCCACTTAGGAGTTGCTCCTGGCTCCCTGGGGACTGAATGTCCCATTGTGGAAAGTATTTCTGACATTAGCCTGCTCAAGGCCTCACCCAAGATTAGGAGGCTGTTGTGCAACACGCAAGTGACATTTCCTGCCCTGGGGACCTTGCAGTCCTCATAAACTATAGGTGTGAGGGGAAAAAGACCTCCTTTTACACAGCAAGCCGATGACCAGGACAGAGACAAGACCCAATCCGTCCTCTCCACTGGCTGGGTCATTCAGCGAGATATCATGGTCTATTTTCATGACTGATCCCAAGACTGACATTATCCAAGATAAAGGCTGGGCAAAGGCACTTGTGGGAGCTATATGTTCAAAGAGGAAGATGAGGCCATTCAGCACACGAGGCTACTCCAGCCATGGGCCGGCATCCTTCCCAGCCTACCCAGCCAATGTTATCCTTTCCTCAACCCTGTTCCAGTGCTGGCCATACCTGGCTTTGGGAGAGGGAGTAAATCTTTCCAGCAGAAAGGCTGTTACAGAGGTCACCGGACGGACCCATAAATCTCCATTATCAGGCAGCGGCTCCTGTGCCACAAAACGGAAATTATTACCCTGAGTGTGACTGGGGGAGCCTTTCCTTCCCCCCCGCATTGTTCAGGGCCCTCCGGGAGCCGCTCGGGCAATTTGCTGCCTGAATAAATGTTTCCTTTCCCGGCTGCTAAGTACAAGGAATAAGTGTCAGGGGATCTCATAATGCCAGGATTTAAAGCTCCAGCCCTGAGACAGAAGCCAAGAAAACACTTTGCTGCTTTTTCCCGGGGAGCCTCCTTAATCCCCGTTATTAATAACAATGGCAAATTAAACAATTAGTGCACTTGGAAGCTCAGTGCCCAATATAGCTCAACCTGCCAGTGGATCATGATTTCTGTGGGCTCTGAGCCCTGAGAACGTTTGGGTCTCCCAGGTCTTGGACACCCCCACACGTCAAAATGTATGGGCTGCAGGTCTTCAGGTGATACTTTCTCATTATTTTTGTAGACTTTCAGGTTTTCAAGAGCAGCTGAAATGTCTCAGGTGTGTGGCCAGAAGGTCAGCTCAGAAAGCTCTCCTCAGCAACTTCATCCCTGAGTTTAGTGAAATTATATGCTGTGAAAAATGCTGTGAAATTATAGCACCTCTTTCAGAAAGAAATCCAGTCCCTTGCTTTCCATTTCTCCATTGGGGCCCAAATGCCCTTCGTTCACTACAGGCCATGCACTAAGCTTACGTCATCTTCTCTGAGCCAGTATCTAGCAGTGTCCAAGACACACCCTTTGCCATCACCAAGCATACTTTGAAGCAGGAGAGGCTATCTCTCCTCCAGGTGAGCTCTCTTGAGGTCAGGGAGCTCCCTCTGCTCTGACGGGGCTCCAGGAATGGTTTTAATGAGGTTGCACTCTGCAGATGTCATCTTCTGACTCAGCACTGGCTGGTGCACGCAAGGGACGCACCCGTCTGATATCACCCCATGAGGGCTGTGACTATGTAGAGCTGCTCATTGCGTGGAGCCTCAATGTGCCCTGGGAACAAAGTCTGCCCCTTCCCCGTCTCAAGCACCAGTGATTCCTGTTTATTAACATTCACAAGAATCACCTTTGTCTGCAGCTGAGAGAGGAAAATCACACAAATGCTATTACTATGGAAGCTGAAGAGGACTTTTGGAAGCTTAAACCAGTGAAACTCTCTCAAGAGAGAAGCTCAATTCCAAATCCCATGGAAACTGAAAAAAAAAAAAAAAAAAACCAACCAAAACCACCAAACAAGTAGTGAAGAATATAGCTCAGACAAATATGGATAAAAAAGGAGAGCAGGTCTCAAGACTGCTTTGTACTGGTGTTTTGGATGTCTGATTACAAGCTAACAGTGAAAATAACATGGACGGTGGAGCTGGGTGTCACTCAAACTCTTAGGAAATAACATTCAATATTCAGTAGCAAATGTGATTATTGTCAGAAAATAAGAGACTTACACATTGCCTGGTTTCAACTCCACATCCTCTGGGTTTTTTCCTAAAAAAGAAGTATGCCCATACTTAACATTTCTTCTTATACCCATTTTGAAGGATCTTCTTTTTCAAGTCCATCTAGTCCAGCTCTTAACATTTCTGAGGGACTGTTAGGAATTTTCTCCTTTTTCTTTGATTAAAAACTTTCAGAATTTGGTTTTCTGGTGGAAAAATCTCCAGGAAAGATATTTTGTAATTAGTCACAGACACAACTCAAATTGGTCAAGAGTTTCAACTGTTACCTTTGGACTACCTCTGCTCTGCTAAATTCTCCCTGGATTATGTTAACAACTTTGTAGTGAATTATTTTCAAAGAAGAAGGGATTTTCTCACAGGACAAAAATTACTGTGAAAATAATTTGGCTTTTTCTTTGGAAAATGATAATCAGAAACCTCAACAACCTCAACAACTTCTAAGATGGAAAAATAGTGAAATGCTTTCCTTTCTTGATATTTTTCAAGGAAATTAGTTCTTTCCTGACCAGCTGTTCCAATTCCTTCTCTTTTCAAAGGAAGTTTATTTGATCTAGATTTTGGCTGCACAACAATGGTGATTTTAAAGGGGAAAGTGAGGCATTATGGTTACAGTATCACTGAATCCACATGTACAAAACTCACCTGGAGGGATTCCCATCTTTCCTAAACCACCAGAATTGCTCAAAGGTAATGAGATTTTCCTAAGCTGCTGAGAAGACACTGGATTCCTTCCTTTCTGGCTCCAGAGCCCCTTGGATACACTCACTTACTGTTTTCTAGTATTTCCCCGTGGCCAATCAGTGTAATCCCTTGCCATTTTTAGCCTGGTTTTCTAGGGAGAATTAGGTTCACATGAATCTTTTTGTCTGTGCCTCTGCTTATTGGTGCCACTTTAGTAATTTTTTAATCCTTTGGCTGTTTCACTGTTATGTAGTTTCCTACAGATTTTCCAAAAATAGTCTGGAGAAAAGAGAAAATAAGGCTGATGTTTGAACATAACCTTTATTAGATCTCAGAGAATCCACATGAGATTGAGGCACAGATCGGCAAGAAGCCAAATTTTGTTGGTTTGCTGTTTGGGGAACTATTATCTTCCAGCAGAAAGCTGAGATACTCATATAACAAGCATGTGGACAAATACAAAATATAGCAAGATCCACAATAACATTTTAGAAGTTAATGTTATGCTGATCTGTAATGGCTGCAGGTCCTGATGCAAAGCTCTTGCTGTCCTCCAAACGCCTCCTGTGCGCTGCAGTTTGTTGGGAATTCTTTCAGCAGCCTGGTTTATTCCCAGCCTATGCTAAGTAATGGATCCCTTTGCTGTCATTTATAGTTTTCTTCTTCTCCCCAATTATTTTCCCATGTAGTGTGCCCTTTTTGGTGCCCACAACAGAACTTGTCCATGTGCAGGAAGGAATGGTTTTGTAATAGAAGAAATACATCCCCAAGCTGAACTCGATAGCTGATACTCTCCAGGTGGGACCACCATCAGGAACGCGCATTTTCAAGGGCCATGCCAGTGGGATGCACCTATATTTACACCTCAGCAAGGCCTATAGCTGATGCTTATATTTTACTAGGCAAAGTTCTTGGCTTCTCGAGGGCGTTGTATCCAAGGGTGAGCTGACCTGTGTCCTTCCAAACGATGATGCAGTCGAGGTGTGTTGTGTTGACCCCTGCACCACCTTGCAGATGATCATAGAATCATAGGATCATTTAGGTTGGAAAAGGCCTTTAAGATCATCCAGTCCAACCATTAACCTAACACTATCAAGTCCACATGAAACCAATTAAGGGGAGAGTAATAATTTCATGTTTCCTGGCTTGGGGGCTGGATTATTTTTTAATGAAAGTAAAAACTAGGAATCATTAAGGTTGGAAAGGACTTCTAAGATCATCAGTCCAACCATCAACCCAACACCACCATGCCCACTAAACCATGTCCCGAAGTGCCACATCTACCCATTTTTTGAACAGAAAAATGATATGGACCTGCCATAGCCAGAGGGATGGGACTGGCCCAGCCCAGGGCAGTTGTCCTCACCCTCACATCACTGCTGCATCTGAGCCCCATTGGAGGGTGAACCAGGAACATGTTGGATGAATGCACCAAGCCCTGGAGAGTGACATCAAGCACAATGGAGGTCTGCATCAAAAGCTGAGTCGCGACACCTCTGAATGCCCAGTGATGTCTGTTAGCTGACAGCCGGAGCTGGGGTTGTACATGTGGCTTCTTGCAGTTCAGGAGATGCTTCTCATGCAGAGAACAGGGCGAAGGCACATGAACATCTCTCCCCCTTGGCTGGGTGGGAGCCAGCATGGGCTGGGTGAGGAGCAGTCCTGCGGGGTAGCAGGGCACATGGCATGGCTTTCCCTGCCCACGCTTGCTTGAGCCCCATTGAGAGATGCTTGGGCAGTTGTCTGATCTCTGGGCAGTTCTGCTTCATGGGTCCGGGCTTGTGTTTGTCCGCAGTCGCAGGCAATTTGTCTTGATTGTAAACACGGCTGTTCGCCTGCCCCAATCTGTTTGCCCTGGCTATGTCCAATCTTGAAAATTGGATAACGTCAGAGCAGAAGGGAAGGTTTCTATTTCTGTCTCCTTGTATCTGTGTCCCAGCACATCCCTGCTGCCACAGAAGTCCTGCAGCCAACACTGTATGGCAGGGAAAGGGGTTCCTCTTCCCAATAATTCCAGGGGATTCCTTGAGAAAGGAAGAGCTGTTTCTTGCACCCTATAAAATCAGAATGTTTGTGATTTCTTGAAATGTCACTTCTGGGCTCAAATACTGAGAACCAGACCAGAAATTAAATGCACAGCTGCCTAATTAACCAAGTCTTTTTCCCTCTTTCCCATCATGGCAGCAGAATTTTTTGATGATTATTCAGAGGGGCGAGAATGTGTCAACTGTGGGGCCATGTCCACCCCACTCTGGAGGAGAGACGGCACAGGGCACTACCTCTGCAATGCCTGCGGGCTCTACCACAAGATGAACGGCATCAACCGGCCCTTGTTCAAACCTCAGAGGAGGCTGGTAAGTCAAAATCACACAACGCATGTGGGGCAAGGCTGCGTGCAAGGATGAGGCAAAAAGACCTTGGCTAGGTGGAGGTGCCAGGGGTGTTTCAATTCCTTGGGTCGCCATATGCTTAACCTAGGTGATTTTGATCCAGATTTCCAAAATAAGCCAGATTACCTTGTGCTTGGTATGTTCCAAGACCTTCTACTGTCCGGACTAGTTCTGCAAAGACACCCAGACCAGGCGGTAGAAGGGGCTGTGGGACACAGGGGCAGTACCATGGTGTTGGTTTAGCAAAAGCCAGTCTTTGCTTTAGTACCCCTGTAGGCATATTAGGATGAATGGAAACCCTTTTCAGCTCCACCATACCACCAGTCCATCTTCTCTTACCTTCAGGGTCCTTATTCCCCAGTCACTTCATGGTGACCAGCCACCTTTTGTGGATACCCTGCTCGCTTGGGTGAGCTGAAGCAGAGCTTGTGGGGCAGATCAGGGCATCGCAAAGCCTGTGGGGTCAGGATGGGGTATGCATGGGGAACCTGGGGGAAGGGAACATCTTGGTGTTGATATCCTGCCTGTCCCAGCCTGTTCTGTGAGAGGTTTTGGGAAGGTCTCTGTAGTCTGTGCCCCAGGGACATGCGTCCATCATGACGCCAGGCAGCAAGGAGCCAGCAAGCCATCCCTCAGGGCTATATTTCCCCACTCCTTGTCTTCCATGAGGCTCCATCCCCAACTTGCCCTGCCCTTCGTATTGCCCAGACCTGTTTGTGCTCAAACCCAGCCGTCCCCTGCAAGTGTCAGAAATGACACTGGCAGCTTCAGCGCTGCCGCCAGCCACAGCCACAGCCACCCAGCGCCCTCTTGTGAAAACCCCTCCTTAGACATTGCGCTGACTAGGCCAGGCAGTTTCTGCACCCTAGCACCCAGGCCCTTGCCCTGTTTCTTTTACTGGTCTACTTATTATCCTTGGGCACACCTGTGTAGTCAGGAATGGCCCATTGGGTACCAGGCTTGGTCCTTTGGAGCAAGCAGCAATGCATGCTCTTAACTCTGCGCAGCCTTGGGGTAAGGCTTGGAAAACCCCATGAGAAATATAAATGCATGAGCCGTGCAGATCTGTACATGCGTTCCTGCCACTTGCCTGGGCAGATGACAATCTGGAAATCTTACAAAAATGTCCAAATTCCTGCTTTTTCTTCTGGAAGAGAATTGCCTTGAAGAAAAGGAGGATATGTCTAGGGATGCAATGTAGGGGTGTGGTTAAAGTAATGACAATTGGTCTACCTGAATACATATATTCAGACTAAGTGATTTGGTTTAACCTGTCACTGTGTAACCCCTTTTTTCGGAGACTGAGATATGGCAGAGAGTCCTGCAAGGGGAGATCTTTGCCTCTGCTGCAAGCTCTCTTTTAAGCTCTCGGTCCACTTACAAAGGCCGATGACTGCAGCTAATGCCTGTTGAGGTTACAACTAAAGCAGTGTTTGTTTTCTCTGCACCAAAGGGGTTTCCAGTTTTCGAAGTCTTAAGAAGTACTTGAATTCCACTTTTTATTGTCCTGCTGCCGTAGATTAACTCATCCTGTTTTATAATGAGGGAGAAGACACAGAGAGAAAGCTGTGGCAAAGATCACAGAGGAAATCCCTGGTAGCTGCCAGGTTCTCATCTCCCAGGCTTTCACCCCCTTACACAGCCGCCAGCTATGCTGTTTGGGTCTGCAGGGCTGGGTAAATGTCCAAGACCACCAGATTTGCTCCCTATAGGCTCCTCATCAGGCACAGCGAGAACAGGCATTGTCACACAGCTCTAACACTTCTGTTCAGTCCCCAGTTTATCAGGAAGCAAAGAGGGAATTTGACCCCAGCCCATCCAGACTTTATCCCCAGCCTCTTAAGACCTGAGCTTTGGAGGATGCTGGGCAGAGTCAGGCAGGCGTGGAGGATGTGGCTTTTTCTTCCCCCACCTCCCACTCTGCTTCCAAGCTCAAAACTGGTATTTCATATGGTTTCAAGCCCGTTGTCTTCCTCCTGTGTCCTTCTGAGCCTGGCTAAACCAGTTGACCCAGAAAGGGAACTTCAAAAGGCCTGTTCTGGGTACTGCTTCATTAGTGTGGTTTCCTATTAATTATCCCTCTTTATCTTTAGGAAGACGATGCTGCTGGAAGCACTCTTTTTCTTATCTCCCCCTCAAGCCACATGAGCAACATCACGCAAAGCCAGCAAGGAGTATGTAACATTCATGGCATTGATAATGTCTTCTTGGGATATGCCATGATGCTTGGAAGGTGAAGGGCTTGGGAGCCTGAAAGGGCAGGACGGTCTGAGCTCCAGACACCGTACTGTAGGTGTGTGCACGTGCAGTGGGTCTCTAAGCTGCTACTAGACCCGCTGGAGATCTGGGGCTCTGTTCAGGTGATGTCTCTGGCACCATCTGAGATGCCCCAGGACAGCGGAGATGTCTGCGCAGTGCTGGCAGGCAGGAGGCAGTGGAAAGGCAGTGGAGCAGAAGCTGAAAGGCAAGAGGGGAAGAAAAAAGCAACTGTGTTATCCACTGCAGCAAGGTGAGAAGAGAAAAAGGCAGAGAAATAAGAGTGGCAAGAGGAGAGAAAAACCTGAGGCGTGCTGGAGCGAGCTCGTTGGGATCTGAGATGCTGCCGGTGGCAGCAGTGGAGGGCTGATGTGTTTTCTTCCTCTGCATTTTCTCGCAGTCGGCTTCCCGCCGCGTCGGCCTCTCTTGTGCCAACTGCCACACAACAACAACCACGCTCTGGCGCAGAAATGCCGAGGGAGAGCCCGTCTGTAACGCCTGTGGACTCTACATGAAGCTCCATGGGGTAACACCTTCACTGATCTTTATTTTTTTATGGGGAGGGTATTGATAGCACCAAGCTGGGGATTGGGTTCATTGCACAACTTGGTGCTCTCCTGGAGCTCTTTTTCCTGCTGTCCCTCTGGGCTTTAGTCCCCATCAACATTACATCATGTTTATACAGGCGAGGGGTGATGTATGCAGGGCATTTCTCACATACTAATTAGCTACCCTTTGCATCCAAGTCTTAAAACCCAATGAAACTAGGCCCAGATTCTTCCCACCTAAATTCAGGCACTTTAGTGAAAAATCTGAGTCAGAAGCACAAAGAAGGGCTTTGCCCTTCCACGTGGGGTGTCAGAACCCAGCTAAGACTTGGTTGTAGACTTGTCATGAGAGTGATTGTTGACTTTTCTTGCACAGGTGTCCAGATAGTCTCTTCCTGTCAGTGGGGGCTTCATTTGGAAAGGGTAGTCAAGCATTGGAACAGGCTGCCCAGAGAGGTGGTGGAGTCCTCATCCCTGGAAGCATTCAAAAAATGGGTAGATGTGGCACTTTGGGACATGGTTTAGTCTAGTCTACCCTTAATTGGTTTAGTGCGGACTTGGTAATGTTAGGTTAATGGTTGGATTGGATGATCTTAAAGGTCTTTTCCAACCTAAATGATTCTATGATTCTATGATTCTATGTATGTATGTCGTGTCTGATGTATCTAGAAGAGTCCCGTTGGCTCCAAGGTATAGCAGGACTTCAAGATGTAAATCTCCAGTCCTTCCCCCACCAAAAAGTGGCAACGGGACCACCCTGCCATGGCAGAGACAGAGGCCTTCAACACCCTGGCGATTGCTTAGTAGCAACCCCCTGTTCTGCTTCTCATTGCTACTCCTACAGGTTTTTTATACACATGCATGCTCTCAAGGATTTCCAGTGCTTCAGAGCAGACGGAAGAGCATTCATGAGAGACAGGTCAAAGCTGGGAGACAAGGTGGATGAGGGGAAGACTTACCTAACCCAACAAATTATTCCTAGGAATCCCAGCTTGTTTCTGACCATGAGGGTGACTACCTCAGTGGGATCAATTCCTAAGGGAGGTCTCCCCACACAGGCGTGGTACCTTTCCAGAAAGCAGGCATTAGCCAGAAAGACATCTTGTCCTCTGGGTTAAACAGGAAAGTAAATCTGATGAGCTGTTGTTCCCTTCTGGCCTTAAAACGCTCTATACCTATGGTGTGCAAACCCTGTTTATTCCCATTTGGATGCACATCTTGTAGCTTTGACATACCTCTTCACACAGCAGTGCTGACCAGTGAATTTGGGCTCCATCTTGTTGCTTTCAATTAAATCAGCTGGTTTTCATGGGGTAGAGCTGGAATCATGTTCTCCTAGATGACCTTATGGACATACAGAAACCAATGTGCTTTTATATTTGGGTCTGTAGGTTCCAAGGCCTTTAGCAATGAGAAAAGAGGGCATTCAGACGAGGAAGCGCAAGCCCAAGAACCTTAACAAAACAAAGACGCCAGCAGGTAAGTGTTGAACGAGGGAGTTTATTGTACGCATATACGTGTGTGCACTTGTGTTTCTGACCATCATGTCCTGTGAGTCAGACACCTGACCACAAAACGGGCTGATTCTTCAAAAATGGGGGGTGTCTGAATGCTTTTCAGCAGTAACAAAGCCCTTCTGACTATTTTTTTATTTTTACCTACACTAACTTTGTGTAGGTGGGTACAGCTCTGTACTGAAAGGTCTTTGGGAAGATCCTGATTTACTGCCTGCTTTCTCACAGGTCCATCCAGCAGCGAGAGTCTTACCCCGACCACCAGCTCAACCAGCAGCAGCAGCAGCGCCACAACCACTGAGGAAATGCGCCCCATAAAAACAGAACCTGGGCTCTCATCTCATTACGGGCACCCCAGCCCAATTTCTCAGGTACAGAGGGGAGATGCTGGCAGTGGGACAAAGATGGAAGCTAGGACGGTAGACATGGTGAGAAGAATATCCTCAAAACCTCTGTGGAAAAAGGCTGCTTCTTTTCAACCCAGGGGTCTAGGAGTTCACATCCTCTGGGATGGGGCAAAACCCTACATTCTTGTCACCATGCCTGCAGGAAAATATAGCTTTTTAATGATGTGCGGCAGTTATGAATGGACAACAAGAATCATAGAATTGTTTAGGTTGGAAAAGACCTTTAAGATCATCCACTCCAACCATTAACCTAACACTACCAAGTCCACCACTAAACCAATTAAGGGGAGAGTAGCAACCCCATGCGTCCTGGCTTGGTGGCTGGATTATTTATAACGAAAGTAAAAACTAGGAATCATTAACATTGGAAAGGACCTCTAAGATCATCAGTCCATCAACCCAACACCACCATGCCCACTAAACCATGTCCCAGAGTGCCACGCTTTGTTGAAAACATGAAATTCCTTCTAGCTGGGCAACTATAGAGGTCCCATAGCAAGAAAATGCCTGTTCCCTTTGTACGATTTGATTTGATCTGTCTTGAGCAAGGAAAAACTTATTAAGGTAATATCACCTTTCTTTCTCTGCACTGGCTGGCTGCATGTTGAGCGGTATGAGAAACACAGTGTGAGGAGAATAAACTCACACAGCCCAAATCTAACTGAGTTGAGTCCCTGCAAAGGTAAAGCAAGCCAGCACGATGGCAGAGAGCTGCAGGGTGAAGTGCTGTGCTCTGTGCCATATCCACCACTAGATGTCTTTAGATGTCTTGGGACCAGCACTGCATCCACATAAGGTGCGTATCCTGCTGAGCAACACCCGGATCTGGAAGCTGATCTGTGCGAATGTCTGCAGGTTTAATAACTGTGCCTTGGTTAAGGATCCCCATAGCACAGCAGCATTAAGACGCAGAGGTATCTGATAGTTGCTCGCCTTTTGGGTTCATGCAGGGAGCTCCAGTGTTTAAACAAGATGATACCTGGAGAAAAAAAAAAAATATGTGGTTGAGTGTTGTGCTGGACCGATCCTGCACCTACAGCACTTTGCAGCACTGTTACGTGCCCTGCAATCCACGGGCGGCTATTTGTAAGCTAGGATAGCCCAAGGCCAATGAAATTTCAAGCCTTGGGAGGTAAACTGATCTTTTCTGACATTTAGAAGAGAACAAGATGCCCTGTATGCAGTAATAGGAAAGAACAGGGTCTGGAAGAAGAAGAAAAGAGCCTGTCCAAACTATCATGCGTAAGATGCAATCTGCAGCTCTACAGCAAATCCACAGACATGTTATTACAATAGCACCAGCCCCCATAAAGGGGTTCATAGGGTCCTCTGTGGTTTGAAGCTTTGTTCACAGGATTTTCCCTTTTCCATAGGCATTCTCAGTCTCTGCCATGTCTGGACATGGATCATCTATTCACCCTGCGATTTCAGCTCTGAAGCATTCCCCACAGGCTTACCAGTCAGCTATCAGCCAGTCTCCACAAACCAGCTCCAAACAGGACTCCTGGAACAGCCTGGTGTTAGCTGAAAACCATGGGGACATCATAACAGCATAACCTGGTCTTCCACCCATGGACTTCAGGCTGATCTGCTTGAGAGATGAAGAACATGCCACGTAATCATCAAGTCAATGTTGTTTCCCACCTCCCCTGCTCCTCTGCCTTCTCTCCTCTTGTGAGATGTTCCAGCAAAGAGGTAAAGAGGACTTTTCTGAGGTGTAGGAGAGCAGAGAAGACTCAAATCTCAAAGTAACTAATGATTTGAAGCCTTTTTTCCCACTTTAAATGAGCCTCTCTATTTGATCGTCACCACCTTCTATGAAATAACCAGAAACACAAAGGTGGACACAGTTCTTGAGTTTTGTTTATTTAAAAATATCTGGCATTTAAGACTCAGACAATGGTGGAGCAGAGACACTTTTTTCCTTCTGTCACCATCCGTTCTTTTCCTGACCAGAAGAAAATGCCACCATCTTCTCATTACCCAAATTCAATGATTTTCCACCAAACGGAGCCAGTTCCAGAACAGTTTGTTGAACAGACTTCACTAGACGTGCTGTGGTGCCTTTAGTGCATTTGATATGATCTAGGGCAGAGAAAAAAGAGACCCTGCCCCACACACACATCCTCAGCTCACATATCTAGAGCATTGTCTTCATTTTCCTAGATGGTCTGAAAAGCTAATGAATGTCTGTATTTAATAGTAACTCCTTTCCTATTTATCATTACAAAATCATGGGACTGTGTTTCCAAAAGGTTGGAAACCAGGCTGAGCCTGGAGAAGGTCTGTCCAAAGTCAAAGGGCGATTTTGGAAGGAGGAACCTTCTGGAAGCAGGTACAGGAGACTCACGTTGGTCATCAAATCGTGGAGGAAATTGCTGGGCTCTTCCCTTATGGATAGCTACAAGCTAGGCTTAGAGATTATTCAAGAGCACAGCAAGTGAAAGATGCTCTTCTAACGCTGCTGTGCCATTGCTTTTGAGACAGTTAATTTAATTATTTTGCATACTTTTATGCTGGTTTTGATGTCATTGATGAAATCTGATTGTCATTTATTTTTGGCTGTACTGTGTGCCCACTTTTCCCCTAACAGCTGGCTCATGACCATTTCACAACTCTAACCCTTTAGGGTTTCACCTTGTGCAACAAGTAAAGGCTTCAGCCTCTAAGGGAGGTAGGCAGGGGCCATTTTCTTTACTGAGCACGTGCATAGACTTGCTTGCCTGCAAGAGAAGCATAACTCCATTCATGCATGAGTATTAAACAAGACTCTGGTTTTTTCTTGTCCATAAGGCTCTCAGCAACCAGGGAATCCTAGCAAATGGAGTCGGAAGAGATGCTGAGAGCTCACTGACTCATTCCCTTTTCCCAAAGGGATGAATTCTACCTAACCTAGCCCTGACTGCTCTTTCTCTAGCACGTGATTAACAAACTCCAGCATCGCAGATGCCACAGCTCCCCTGTGCAGTCTAAATGCTTCACCAGATGCTTGCCATGATGTTTTCATCAACATTTCTGAGGAGGGAAAGCTTTGCCTGTCCAGGCAGGGATTTGCTGCAAGACCTCATCCTACAAGATTCTCCACTCTTGTTTCTGTCCACTCCCAAACTCTGTTACTCTTCTTCCCTTCCCAGCTCCTCTCTTTCCTCCCTGCATCCAGAACCCAAGTACGGAACTACCAAGTGAAAATCTAGAAGAGGGATTGTGCATCCCTCCCAAATGTGCCATCGTCTGTCTCCCACTGTTTAACATTCCCACAAAGAGTGTTTCCATCCAAACACCAAGGTACACGGCTTTGCGAAGAGGAAAGCCACATACATATTTGAAGCAAAAGAATTGCATTGTATTGCCTTTGTTTGAACTCGCCATTTTCCTCCTGATGGTAGAAAAGCTTCTTTAAGGAGAAGGATTCAACTGGACTGGTTGGGATAAAGACTGGTACTGGAGTCACAGTAGAGACCTGGACCCTTCCACATTCCCTGTGCGCTGCGTAACTCACATTTGCAGGGTTTTGGAGGGAGAGCCTCTGCACTCCCCAGAGAAAAACACCATGGCAGTGATGCCATGGGAATGGCTGGATGGTGTCTGCACCGGAGTTTCCACTCTGTCTTGCTGAGCTAATGCAGGGTCTAGCCTCATTAGTGTTAATTACAGACAAGGAAAAGACATTGATGAAACATGAATAAAAATAAATGAAATTCTGTGATTCTGCTCAAGCCTGGTAGGCTGCAGAGAAGAGGCCAGAAGTAGCACCTAAAAATATGAATTTGGGGTGAAAACATAAAGGCGTTTCTCCCTGGGCATGCAGGTCTTTAGCCAGCCTCCTCCTTGAACTATATTCCTTTGTAAATGGCAACTGAGCTCTCTTGGGATCTGGCTGTGAATTCCTGTCCATAACACAGAAGCACACACCACAAAGATGCCACTTGGCTAATGCACACATTTGAGATACCTAGGACTACCCTGGACAACCTGAAAGGGAGGGGAGCAGGTGGCCTCCTGGAGAGGAGCTAAAGTCCAGACCAACCACACACCCCATTTCTCTTTCCATACGGATGCTCCCAGAGGCTCTGTCCACCTTGCCTTATTACTGCGCTCCTCCTACTGCCCTCAAAGCTAAACTCCCTGGCTGAATTTTTCTCCTGCCCTTAAAACACACTCTGAGATGCCATAAAGGAGTCTGCTTGCAATGCAAGAGGGGAAAACCCCTGCAGAACATAAATAAAAAAATAGCCTTATGCTCCCTCAGGTTATCTAAATGACCATGGTAGAGATTTGTTAACTGGTTCTCTGCCTTCCTTAAAGCCTTAAAAATAATTCTTGAAGCACAGTGAGGAGCATTTACAAGGAGCCTAATAACAGAACAAGATGTCTGCCTTTCAAAAGGTGAGGCTCTGGGGGCTGTGAGGACAACTTGGTGCTCTCTTTTGGCCCCCCTTTTGCACCACAAGCAGTAGAAGTCCAGATACTCCTGGTTCTGTTGTTCTTTTCAATCACCCAAAACTGTTGTAGACCTATGGCTGGTCCAGGAGCATTTGTCATATTCTGGCCAACACTGATATCAAGGTGGTGAGAGGCTGACTTCAGATAGAGCACCATCATGCTAGGTGCTGTACAAACACTCCATAATAGATGGGTCCTGTTCTAAGGAGCTTGTAATGATGGAATTACAGAGTAATTTAAATCAGAAGGGACTAGATCAGGTTTCTCAGGGCCCTGTCCAGTCAAGCATTGAATATCCACAAGGATGGAAAGCCTACAACCTCTCTCGGTTCCTGTTCCAGTGCTTGACCACCCTCATGGTGGAAATGTTTTTCCAAATAAACGTTAGATTCTAAGGAGAGGCAAAATCATTGGTAAATTAACTGCTGAGACTTGGGGACTCCCAAGCAATGAGTCACTGCAGGAGACGGACGTTGTCTCCAAGCCCAGGAGTCACACAGAGCCCTTTCTTGTAGGTAGGAACTGGGGTGGCCAACACAGGATGACAAACACCAGAAGTGACAGATGAAGAGATACTCACAGGAGGAGAGGACAAAAGTGCTACCAGTTTCAGGAGACTCAGCTCATTTTAGGAAGAGGGGCAACTTACAAAATTCTGGGTTCCATCTGAGCTCTGCTCTCCTTCCCATTATGGCATCTAGAGCCTGCTTTGCTAATTAAATTAGACACAATTATTAGAGACTCGTTAAGGCAAGATAATTATTGCTATTATTGTAATAATTTCTTTCATTCCAGCATGGCTGGAGAACCTAGTGAGGACCGTACCAGGCCAGGTCCTACACAAATGCAGGACCGAGAACTATTCCTGCCCTGAGGAGCAAGAGGGAAGGGCCCAGTCCTGCAAAACACTTGCGCATGTACATAAATGCGTTTGCGGAACTTGTTCTCTTAGAGGTCATCATTAATCGCACATGCAAATTTTGACGTCAAAGGGTTTGCAGCACAAGGTTTTGTTGTGCCAAACCAGACCTTTGCAATGGCTCAGTGGTCACCAGAGTGAGATGGGCAGATGAGAGCCAGGACAGGGAGCTAGAGGGGTAGAAAGGTCACTTAACCATTTCTAAATGTCTTTTCTCTCTGTAGAAGTGCAATATCTTGAATCACTTCAGCTATTCTTTTGTAAATTGATCAGAAGAGAACCATATTTCACTTGCAATCTTACAGGCTGGCTGCAGAGGGTGCAATCAGGAGGAGCTCAGGAATATCGTTAAGGGAGCTTTAAAACCGATCAACAACTCTTAATATAACATTGAAGCTGTGACTATGTCAGGGGTGGTGTTTTGTTTTGCCTTTTTTCTCCCCATGTATAAAGTTTGAAGCTTTCCAGGTCACCTGGGAAGGTCCCATGGAAACAGACACTTACTTGTAAGGGGGAGAGGGAAACCAACCAACTGAACAAGCTGTAATTATTTAAAGATGTAAAAAAATATATATTATGAAGTAGTATGGCTACCAATCCACGTAACTTCTACACCTTTAGAACTAATGGAAATAAAAGAATGATAATAAAACCAGAAGGCTGCTGCTTGACTCTGACTACCCTCATAGGCTTCTTGGAGAGGGCTGGGGGTGACTGATCACATATGAAGTGCACCTGGAGAAGCAATGGTGCAACGGGTCCTGTCCTAAGGAGCTCGTAATGATGGAATTATAGAGTAATTTAAATCAGAAGGTACTAGATCAGGTTTCTCAGGGGTCTGTCCAGTCAAGTGTTGAATATCCACAAGGATGGAAAGCCTACAACCTCTCTCGGTTCCTGTTCCAGTGCTTGACCACCCTCATGGTGTAAATGTTTTTCCAAATAAATGTTAGATTCTAAGGAGAGGCAAAATCATTGGTAAATTAACAGCTGAGACTTGGGGACTCCCAAGCAATGAGTCACTGCAGGAGACTGGACATTGTCTCCAAGCCCAGGAGTCACACAGAGCTCCTTCTTGTAGGTAGGAACTGGGGTGGCCAACACAGGATGACAAACACCAGAAGTGACAGACCCAGCAATGGAGCAATTCAAGGCCAGGCTGGATGAGGCTTTGAGCAACCTGATCTAATGGAAGGTGCCCCTGCCCATGGCAGGGGCATTGGAACTAGATAATTTTTAAGGTCCCTTCCAGCCCAAACCATTCTATGATTTTAATACAAAGGGGGGGGAAGCACCCAATTTGTTTTCCATGCACCTGGTAATCCCCCTAGCACAGCAGAGAGGGGAAAAGCTCCTCAGGGCACTTTAATACCATCATGACATCTTTTTGGTCTGCTCACTAGCATGGTTTTATGTAGCAGGCTGTTGTTCAGCCTAATTACTTCCAGCCGAACTCAGAAACACCAC